CATCAGGGAATCCACAACTTTCTGGAGGCTGTCTTTGGACTGCAGGGCGCAAATTAATTTACAAATGTGAAGACTGCAAACAAGGCTTCGCTGAAGCATGTCATTTGAAATCCCGGCCCGGACGCACTTGTTGTCCTCATGGTCCTTCCGAGTAGCATCCGCACCTTTCTCCATCCTGGCCTTAGCCTGCGAGATGTTGCTGAAAGCTTTCTCTGGCAGGACCACGGGCGCGTTGGCCTACCGGTCAGAAGTGCTTCGGAAGCAGGCCGTGTGCCTCAACCCACATGAACCCTCCCCATCCCCGCCTTCTTGCTTTCCATGTGCTGATGCTCATGTGTAATCTGCTCCTTGCGTTGTCCCTTTTCGCGCAAGACAATCCAATACTCCTTGACATGATCGTAGACATTGTACCTGCAAAGCATTTTTCAAGTTTAAGGCAGTCTAAGTTATTGCGTGGGGCTAGCACATGAATACTTATACACCAAGGGGCCGGACGTGCGAAGAACCCATGTTCTCACAGTGCTGGATTGCACCCTTGACACGTGACCTCAGCAGAGAAAGGGAAAGGAAGTGTTCAGTGTATATTGTTTATTAATGAAGTTTGGGGACTGGGCAGGGCTAGAAATTTATAAGGATACAGACTAAATCATTGTGAGGCGATAAAATTCGATGCATTTCAGGCTTGTACCAGACTCCGGGATTCTATAGTTTACATTTGTTGAAGCACGTGCAGCGAAGCCTTTAACCAGCCAGTCTAAGATATACACAGCTGAGGCAAACACGCATGCCACTTCAAATCATCCAGCATCTCAGCCTCGCTGTACCATCCTTCCTGTGTGGTGAGGGTCACCTTTTCCTTCTTCGTGATAATGACTGTCACCCTCGCCAAGAATGTTTCCTCAGATATGCGCGGCAATGATATTAGAAAAGGGCATACTTTGTAGACAAGACCGTTGAAGTATGACCATAACATGGGGCAAAGTCACACGGTCAAAGTTGCTCTGAAGCAGAACGTTGATCATCTCCTCTTTATGCGCCTTCCAATAGTCGCGTACATTCTCTGGCACATCTAGATCCTTGCGACGAATCTTTGGAGCCATCATTCGATTGCATCGCGATCGGGCAGCCAAGCGCAATCGTTCCTGCAGGTGTATAACATAGTAACACAAGACAAAGAAGGATTTCTGTCAAGGGCAGAGTCTTCCATAGACACGCAAAACACCAAACAATATCGGTCCTGACGGGTAAGCACAATCTTAGCCTTCTTCTTGGGGGGTTCATCATCATCGCGAGCAACAAGGGCCCCATCACATGGCGGAACAGCACGGGCTGGGGTAGCAATGGGCCGCTTCTCAACCCGACCAACCTCAGCCTTGCAAGCGAGCGAAGCATCAAGCGATTTGTCAGGCTCATCTTCGGGGCAAGACTTCGCGAGCGAGGAAGAGGCATCTTCCATAGATCCATCATCCCATTCCTGTATCAGTCAGCTCATGTTTGTCATTAAGCTCTTTCTGGGGTCTCAGAATATAGATATGTAGCAGGCAAGACACATGATAGGGATCCGCAGCGGTAGTTGCCATACCATCATCTTCATCATTTTCATAATCTTCCCCATCGGAGTCCAATGACAAACCCGCTCGCTGCAACTCAGCCAGCGTGGCCTGAACTGTTCAAAATGCAATGTATATACACCCTACGCAGGATTCCACGGTGTTTACTTGCCTTTTCGCATGTTTACGCAACTGTTTCCCACAACTTAAAGACAATCCTCTCTCAATTAAGATGAAGCTATGTGGCAGGCAGAGTCTCCATCATGGAGATATCGCTATCAGATGGCGCCGGGGCCACAGCCTCGTGAGGAAAACAGTTCTATAGCTATCAACTATATGTGCACGGATTGTCGGGCATCTCCTCGTTCGTGGCTCGCTCCAATTCCTGTGGATTCAGGGCACGTGCAGACAGGGGCCTGAGTGTGATTTAAATGGGATGGGCTTCAGGTTCTCTATATATAGAAACATAACCAGCAACACGCCCTGGTACATGCAACTCCTCGTTCCTTAAAGCCTTTGACCCGCAAGCTTAATTAATGGACGGGACCAGAGTGTCATTTACGTGGGACTATATCCCCATTAGATATACTTGAGGGCCATTCTGTCGGAATTCTAGATGAGCTTATGTAATGATTGGAATACAATACAAGGCATGTGCATGGGCGCCAACTTCAAGTCAAGAGTACACATGATTCTGCATCGCTCCTGGATCTCACGTAGCAGTTGTGCTTCCTCCTCATCCACCTGTTCTAGCATCGCCTGCCTGAGAACATCCTGGACACCGGAGTCTAACGTTGCACAGCTCCACTGCTTTGATGGAACGGGACCAGCCATAGCTAACCAAAAGACCTGGACACGCAGTAGCTAACTTCGAAATCATATATGGCTATACCGCAAGCAGGATGGCACAACAGCTTCTGCGCAGAAGCATCACTCCACTCATCCTCATATATACACAGTCTTGCAAATCTAATCTCCAAGGCGGAAAGAGGAAGCAGCTCCTCCTTTTGCGAGAGGCAAGACCAATTATCGGGAAACTTCGGCCAACTCGGGTCTGTCCAATGGGGCTTCGGGGTGGGAGATCCCTACTGCATAGCATTTCCCGAACTTAGGGGTTTTGGAAGTAAAGTGCCTTCGGTATAAGTCAAGCTTCCGGTGCAGTTGGAAAGGGTTTTGTTCCGTATATGGCTTGTAACTTCTTCGGAAAAGGCTTTTGGTTCTTGCTTCGGGATACGCTTTTCGTAAAAAACCCCTCTATAGAGCAGAGCTACTCCAATGCCGAAACCCCATATTTCTCGGTATGGGTAAATATGGGGTTTGTACTGGTTAAATATGGGGTACGTATGGGTTAGGGAAAGCTAGGTTTTTTGGCGTGGACTTCGGGAATACGGGGTTTTTCGGGTTAAATATGGGGTTTATACGGGTTAAATACGGGGTCAAATCTCGAAGATCCCGAAACCCCACTTTTTCCTCTACACAACTCCCTTGAACTATTTGAATGACTATGAGGGCCCAACAAAAAATATACCGTTAAGCCACCAAGCTGCCTGCAACCAGCCCCAAGACAGTACCCCCCAAGATTGAGAGGGACAATCCAGAATTGTAGCGAACATTTTAATTATGGGCTGTTTTTGCAGGTTTGGTCCCGTATACTTCTGGGTTCTTGGTGTCCCCACTACAACATTCGTAGTCCTAGTCGCCAGTATAGTCTTGCACTTGTACAAAATCAAACCATTTACCAATTGGGTTGAAAGCCTGAAGAGCTATCTTTCTACACCCTGCCCATGTGCGATAATCAAGCCCCGCTAGGATTCACAAGCCCGGCATATGAGTTCTATATACGTAGCCTCGCTATATATATATATATATCTATCTACCCTAAATACTGTATACAATATTTGTATGTATCTACAACTCTGTATACAAGGCTAGGGAGCACTGAAAAGCTAAATCACTCGGTTAGATGCGCTTCGGGGTGTGCCACAAAACATTATGCGCGCACTTTGGGATTAATTGCTGGGAGCAGAACTTGGAAGCCTTGGAACCCTGGCTGCTTACTTCAAAGCTAGAATGGTCACAACTATATGTATTGCGAGTACTGAAACAACCCTGCCCTAAAAGCCCTTATACAATATAAACCTTACACCGCGGCCCTACATACAGTCTCTGAATTCTTTCCTGAATCAGCTAGCTAAATTATCTACCGTGATGGAT